TAACTTTGTATGCCGCACCAATTAGTCATAAGTCCTTGAATAACTTTTTAAAGTTAAGAGAATCATTAATGTTTACTTCCTTTTAATTATACAACTGTATTTTAAATGAGCCCACAACATCAGCAACCTTTTTTAGGGGGAAAGAAAGATGCTATAATAAGTCTAATTAAAGTTTTCCCCTTTCCGAGGCTGCTTGTGATGGGGCCCATCATGAGTATGTTTCAGGGGGGGTGGAGACGGACTTGTATCCCTTTCTTGTTTCACGTATTTGCCTTTTATTTTCTCTTTTGAAGCGTTTGTTCTCTCTTCCCGGACAGCTGGGTGGGGGGAGAAGAAGGAAACCTTTTTCCTATGATGCGATGCGGTAATTCTGGATTCTCTGTGCATAGCTCAACAGGGTTTCAGCCTGGAAGAATATATCCACAATGCTTCTACGTACCATGATCATCTTCCCATTTTTATTTTATTTTATCTGTTGTAATATATGAAGGCATGCATAAAGATGATTTCAGATGCATGTCAGAGGAACAGATCTTTACGCCCCCCCCACGACCCATCCCAGGTCATTAGCAGTGCTGCCCCAAAGGTGAAAAAGTAGGGGTGCAGGAACCCCAGTTTCTACAATACTTCCTGGATATTTTTTCCTGTTTGCAGTGGGATGGAATAGATTCCATTTTACCACAGAGCCATCATGCCTTGTCCATGTATAGGAGATGAAAATAACATTTACCCTTTTTTAAAAAAAAATCTTACTCTAAGGGGAAGGACTACAGCTAATTAATTTTATTTTTTTGCACCCATGAGGACTAGCTCCTTTTTTCCCCAGAAACAAATGGTGGTTCTCAGCCAGGCAGTTGTTTGCTGATAGGACAAATTCAGTAGTGTCGCTTGTGCTTTTCTCCTTGCATTGCATAAAAACCACACGTCCCTCCCCACCCCGTCCCATATGTAATATCTGGGGGTGAAATAAGCCAACGTCATTATGTGTCACCCATTGAGTACAGACAGCTGGTGGAGCGTGGCGGCTGAGCTGCTACCGTTTGAATGTGATTTAGGCTTTGACCTGTCTAAGTGACCTTAAGGAACCCCCCAGATTCATGCAGTCCTGCCCCCACCCCTGTTAACTATATGGGCATGAAATAATGGGTTACTTTTTAAAAAATTTTCAATGATTTGGACTCAACTTGTGACTCAGGACCCACCCACTCCACCCTTTTTTTTCAGGGGGGGGAGCTTGTGTTTAATGGGGATTTGGTCTTGGGGTTTAGAACTCGGTACCAAAGACTTGGTCTTCAGACTTGGCAACACACACACACACACACACACACAGTGGTGCCCCGCATAGCGAGCGCCCCGTTTAATGACAAATCCGCATAGCGATGTGGATTTTGCAATCGCAAAAGCAATCGCATTGCGATGGTTTTAATGGCTAAAAATTGCATTGCGATGATCGGTAAGCGTTTCGCTTACCAATTTTCACATTGCGATGTTTAGAAAACAGCTGATTGGCGGTTCCAAAAGGGCTGCCTGGAAAAAAACTGGCCACCCGCAGCATTTAGGCGACCTTTCCTCACTTACTGGGCAGCGAAAATGGCGGCCGGATGGAGGATTTCCGCATAGCGGTGAGTTTTTCCCCATAGGAACGTATTAAATGGCGTTTAATGCATTCCTATGGGGTTTTTCATTCTGGATAGCGATGATATTCTATATGGTGCAGTGGCTAGAGTGACAGACAAGGACTCTGGAGACCAGGGTTCAAATCTCCACTCAGCCCTGGAAACTCACTGGGGGCGTGGAAATGGAAATGGTAAAAAAACAACCCTTTAAATATCTCCTGTACAGTACTTAAAAAACTCTTTTAGGGTCCCTATAAGTTGGTTCTGACTTGATGGCACAGAACAGAAGCCACTTACAGGTGGTTTTAGGAAGGGGATTGTCTTTGGAAGAGACAGTCACGTGATCATCCTCCCCGGAATAACATTCGCACTGCAGACTGTTATTACTGGCCTTGAAATTTGCAGAATTTGTGGACGTCTGGCAGGGATTCTCCCCATTGGACTTGTGGGGGATGCCATCTGTGAAACTGCTGGAGAGGTCAGGGAGGGAGATCTCCGGCTGCAGAGACAAAGGTTGGCAGTTCGAATCCCCCCCCACGGGGCCTCCTTTAGAGGGGCTGGACTGGATGACCCCACAGGGTCCCTTTCCAGCTCTGCCGTTTTAAAGATTGTTATTAGTAAGGTTATAAAGGAGTGATTTAGCTTGAATTTTCTGTGGCACACTCAGCCGCTCGACCAGCAAGGCCGGGGATCCTCAAGTTGCAGCCGGATGCTGGTGCGGACGCGACGCCCTTTGCAGGTGGGACAACGCGACAGGATTTGTGTGAATCGTGCGACTCAGGAGGTGCTGTGACTCCTCCTTTCTGTAGTCCGGAGAAGTCACGTCTGCACGCTTGGCGTGTCGTCGGAGCCACCCCCCACCCGCTCAGATAAACACAGCCACTCCTGCCCCCCAGGCTTTGCTTCGACCCACCGAACCCATTGCTAATTTTTTTTTTAAGGAATTGGATGTTTAGCTGTTAATGGTTTTGGATTTTGCCGTGGGGTGTGTGTGACTAGATCATCCTGACTGTTGATTCAGGGTCTGGAAGAAGAGGGAATTTAGGCTCCCAGAATTTGCCTACCTTTGCTTGAAGGGCGGAGGGCCGGAGTTTTGCAAGAGACTTGAATTCGAATCCCGGCTATTCCTGACGGAGCCGAGAAAAACCCTTCCGTGTCGTCGGAGCCACCACCACCCCGCCCGCTCAGATAAACACAGCCACTCCTGCTCCCCAGGCTTTGCTTCGACCCACCGAACCCATTGCTAATTTTTTTTTTAAGGAATTGGATGTTTAGCTGTTAATGGTTTTGGATTTTGCCGTGGGGTGTGTGTGACTAGATCATCCTGACTACTGGATCAGGGTCTGGGAGAAGAGGGAATTTAGGCTCCCAGAATTTGCCTACCTTTGCTTGAAGGGCGGAGGGCCGGAGGTTTGCTCTGAATGCCGAGAGACTTGAATTCGAATCCCGGCTATTCCTGACGGAGCCGAGAAAAACCCTTGCCCCATTTTTCCGGCCGGGAAAAAACAACAACACTTGCCAGTCTGAATATCTGTTGTGTCCAAGCACCAGCGGTGTGATTCTCTGGAAGGCACCTTGGCTCCGGCATCAATACTCTGCTTAAGCTCAGAGGAAATCGGTGGGACTCCCTCCGAACAGACTCGAGTGCTTTTCTCTGATTTTTTCCCCCACCGGTGGCCTGTCTTGTTTTTTTAAAATGAACACAGAAACACAGGCTGGCTGCCCATTTTGCGGCATCAATGCTTAAGCTCAGAGGAAATCGGGAGGACTCCCTTCGAACAGACTCAGCCTGGCGGTGCCGGTCCATACAACTGAGCCCAAGAGAGGCCCTGAGGTCTTAACTCCACCATAGCTTCTCCTGGGTGCCACACCGAGGAGGGGGTGGGAAGGGGGGGCGGACTTTCTCTTTTGGATTACAACTTCCATAATCCCCTAGCAGTCGTGGTAACTAGGGATTCTGAAAGTCATTTTAAAAAAGGAGAGAGAGAGAGAAAGGTTTCCCTGATTCATGCTTCCCGTGGGCCCCCCAGAGTTTTCAGCCCCGAGCCGCTGCCCCGCATGGGGTGGCTGAATGCTTTTAGGGAAACCCCAAACCCATAACCCTTCCCCCCCCAATGCATGAAATCATGAGTGCTTTTCTCTGATTTTTTCCCCCTCCGGTGGCTTGTCTTGTTTTTTTAAAATGCACACAGAAACACAGGCTGGCTGCCCATTTTAAGGTTTAAAGGCGTGCCTTTTCATGCAAAGTCCTATGGAGTTGTTTTGGGTGTTGTTGTTGTTGTGTGTGTGGGGGGGGGTTGTTTTGCTTTTTTTTTTTTTGCTAAGGCTCCTGCGCCAGACAAATCAAGAGCTTAAGGAATCCACCGTGGCCGCTGTGGGTTGATCTTTCAACACCGTGTCCCCCTGGGGGTGTGTGTGACCCTTTTTTCGTCTGGAATGAGAGAATTCGGGAGCATGGGTAAAATCCAGAGCCCTGAGACCCATTGCTTTTTTCACGAGCCTGTTGGGAAGTCTGTTTTGTTTCCCTTTTTTCCACGAAACCGCACACCGTGTGGTGTGGAGACAATGTTATGAGCTTGCCCCCCCTTCATTTACCAAAATTGAACCCCCAAAACATGTTTGGTACAGGAATTACAGCCCCGTCTTCCAAAGACGACGGCTGTGGTTTAAACTGTCAACTGCACAAAAATCTGTCACTTTGCGCAAAAATCACAGGTGTGGCCCAATTAATTTTCACAGATCCGATAAATCGTCTTTTATCTGTTCTATTGTCAATTGGATGATACTCTGATCATCTTGCAAAGTCAAAGCGGTGGCTTCCTTTATTGAGTCAGTCCATCTTATATCCCGTCGTCCTCTTTTCCTGCTGCCTTCAGCTTTTCCCAGCATTATTGGGGTTTTTTTCTGGTGTGGCTGGGAGGGGCTTTGCTTTAGAAGGCCACAGTGGGCAGAAAAGCAGTGAAATAAATATTTTTAATACATCTGAAGGAGAAGTCCAGTCTTCCAAATCTCCTGCCCAATAAAACTTAGATGAATAAGGTGCACTAGGCTCTTGACTGTTTTTTTGCTTCTACAATATTGCTTACCCTAGAAACTTTCGAGAAATTGCTGTACGACCTCCCTAACCACGGGCTCACTATCTACTGATTCACTTATCCGCTGCCTGAAAATCCAAAATAAATCTTCCCAGAAATGCAAGTTATACATATTTCCAGGGTGTATTTACTAGAACCGGCCACTAGAGGGAACCAGATACCAATCAATGCATAGGGTTTTCTACTTCCATATTTTCCAGCATCCACGGATGCCGCATGGACCCGATCCCCCGTGGATAGTGGAGTCCTGCTGTGTGTCAGTATTCTTTTTCTTGGGCTCTCGTTGCAGACCTTAAAACGCAAAGAGAAGGAGTACGAGCATGAGATGGAGCGCCTGGCGCGAGAAAAAATTGCCACTCAGCAGCGGCTGGCGGATCTGAAGAATGAGCTCAGCCAGTGGATGGACGTCTTGGAGATTGACCGGATCATCCGGCAGACGGTCCAGCCGGAAGATGATCAAGCGTCTACCTCCACAGCATCAGGTACCCCAGAAACATCCTTGGGCTGCCCCCCATGGGTTGAGAGGAGCTGACTCCGACAGACCCCCCCCCTCCAATTGGCTAATCCCAGAAAAGCTGGCGGGCACTCAGAAGGGGTGGCTCACGTGGGCACACCTGGTGGCCAGTTTTCCTCCCCACGCCCTCCCCCTGGCCGTGGCCAAGCTATAATTATCCAAAAATGGCTCAAATCCCTTTTTCAATGTTTTTAAAAATCGAAAACTGGAAATGAAAAGCGACTTCCAGTTTTTTCTCTTTTGCCTTTTTTTAAAAAAGATTTTGAGATTCAGAAGAGTAACTTTTTGAGTCAACCCCCCCCCCAAAAAAAACCCCACTTCTGGAGGCCTTCATGCTTTTTGAAAAAGTTTTTGATTCTTTTTTTGATGAATGGCTTTTATATTTTCCTTTTATTGTTTGGCTTGGGGTGTTGTTGTTCTTTTTTCCCCCCGACTGCCTTTATCCGCTTCTTTCCGGCTTACCTCCCTTCTCTAGGAAGGAGTGGCCTCAAGAAAGGTCAGCTGGTCAGCCGGTCTTGTAAAAACAAGCCTGTGGCTTTCCTCGAGGGAGTCGGTCCATCTCGGATTGGGTCTTCCTCTTTTCCTGCAGCCTTCCCCCTTTTTCCCCCAGCCTGATGGGTCTTTTTTTTCCAAGGAAGCGCCTGTTCTCGTGACGTGCCCTGCTCCATCTCCCCCCCCCCACTTTTCTTTCCGTAGAGAGTTCAGGCTTGATTTCCTCTAGGGCCCACGTGTTCCTCCGCTTTCCTAGCCATCCGTACATTTCCTCCTCCCGCATGTTTGGAAGGAACCTTCTCTTTTCCCCCCAGCTTCTTTCCGCCGGCCCCCCTTTCGCGCTCGCTCACCCGCTTTCGTTTCTTCTTTCCTCCCACGGCAGAAGGCGAGGACAACATGGACGAAGAGATGGAGGACGACCCGCCGGTCCACTCGTTGCCAAAGCTGGCTCACCGACAGCCCCCGGAGCTCCTGAAAGCGGTCCCTCCTCCCATTGCTGCCGCCGCTGCCGCCGTGCAACCCCACCACCACCACCACCACCACCACCATCATCCCCCGCCGCCGGTTTTGCCTCTGGGGCAGAAGCACGCCTCCCTGCACCACAGCCAGCCCGCCACCCTCCAGCCCCAGGCGCTGGTGCCGGCACAGACTCACCTCGTGGCGGCCTCCACCGTGCAATCGACGGTCATCGCCCACACGGCCACCACCCACGCCTCCGTCATCCAGACTGTCAACCACGTCCTGCACGGGACCGCCACGGCCGCCGCCACGGCCGCCCCCCAGGCCAAACACATCGCCCACATCGCCCCGTCCACCTCCAGCCCGGTCCAGCTGACCCCCGCGGGGCAACCCATCGGCCACATCACCGTGCACCCGGCCGCCCTCAACCACGTGGCCCAGCTGGGCCAGCATCTCCCCCTCTACCCGCAGCCCGTGGCCGTGAGCCAGCCGGCGGTGAGCCACATCGCCCACACCCTGTCGCACCAGCAGGTCAACGGCACCGCCGGCCTCGGCCAGCCGGCGGTCATGGCCAAGCCGCCCGTCGGGACACAAGTGGTTCACCACCCGCAGCTGGTGGGCCAGACAGTCTTGAACCCGGTGACGATGGTCACCATGCCTTCATTCCCGGTGAGCACCTTAAAGCTGGCTTAGGAGGGGGCCCGAGGCGCCCAAAGGCTCCCACGCCGTACATTCCAGCCCGGGTCTCCGCGTCGAGCGCGAGACGGCCTCGAGCCTTCCGAACGAGACGTTCGAAGGCGTTGAAAGAGCGAGCGAGCGAGCGAGGAGGAGGATCCTGCCGAGGACACACCGCGCAGGAGGTTGCGGGGGACAGGCCAAAAAAAAAATTAAAATGAAACGAAATTAAATTAAAAATCAACTCTCTCCCTCCTCATCCACCCATTCTTATTCCCCCCCTTTTTTTCTGATATATTTTAAGCAACCTGGCCATGGAGGAGGAAAAGAAATTTACAAAAACCCGGGGCTGCTTCTGCACTTGAATTTTTCCCCTCAATCAGAGAAAAAAACATTTCACAAACAGTCCTTCGCCTGATTATTACTATTTCCCCCCCCCTTTTACATGTAATCAGTGAAATCACGTCTATAATAACGTTCTTAAGACTTTTCAGTATCGTTTTCCACTACCGTCACCTCCCCCTTTTTATTTTTATTTTTTGATGTGTCGCTTCTTTGTAGGGTTTTTTTTTAAAACGGCTGATCGCCTTCTTGAGACTTTGCCTAGATTAAGAAGAAGAAAAAGAAGAAATCATAGAAATATATATATATATATATATCTACCTGCCTGTAGCTACATATATATATAAATATGGTTATCAAGGAAGGCCTTTGATGAGGCTGTGTTTTGGGTTCGTTGTTTTTTCTTTCTCCTTCCCAGGAATATTAGACACGACATTAACACAGATTCTTTTCCTTTCCGTGAAAAGAAGACAGAGCATCCTTTAAAAAATTTTTTTTTAAAAAAAAAAAGCATCTTTCAAAGACAGATGGTTTGGTGGACCAGGGTAAACCCATATTTAAAAAAAGAAAAAAAGAAACAACAGCTAAACATGACGCATTTTCCTTACAAATATATTTACATTTCAGTTTGTTTGTTTTTTTTAAAAAAAAACCATGAAAAACATCTGATCACTGTGACTTGTTGCGGCATTTTAAGGAAACCCTCTGTCTAATAAAAGGTTTTAAAACAAACAAACACACCCGGCTACTCACAGCTTTTGTGGTTCTCATCCTTCCACGTTGTGTCCCGCATTTTGTAGGTGGTTCGGGGGCGTGACGATGGGTTTGCCAGTTTCTTTTCCCTTTTTTGTAATTTCTTTTTCACTTAAAGGTAAGATCGTGCAATAATGCTGCTTTTTACAGGTCAGCGTTGCACCGAAGCACCCTCTGGGCAGGCTGCTGGATTCAGTTCTGGTGGAAAGATCTCCACCGTGGCTGTGGCGGCACCTGGACCCACACGGATCCTCCCTGTTGGATGCCGTTTTTGTTCCCGTGACCCCTTTCTACAGGATTTTGGGGAGCAAATTAAAATCTTCTGCAATCGGGAGCATCGGGGTGCTGAGATTCTAAGTAGCCCACTGATTTACGAATTCCAGGAATCCATAGGAAAGCAAGCAAGGTGGTTAAAAGTGCTAACCAATTCAAAAGAACCTTCTGGTGCGGAGGTTAAACTGCAGTGCGGCAGCAAAGACTCAGCTCACTGCCTGAGTTCGATCCAGGGAGCCGATTCAAGGTTGACTCAGCCGTCCATCCTTGCTGCCTGAGTTCGATCCAGGGAGCCGGTTCAAGGTTGACTCAGCCGTCCATCCTTCCGAGGTTAGTAAATTCACTGGGTGGAAAGGTGGTGGCAATATGTAGTTTGTGTTACTAACCTCAGCCTCCCAAATAATGCTTTAGGCACTATGGGGCAGCCTATAGTAGGAACTGTGTATCCACGGAATCGGTATCTGCTGATTCATTTATCCAAAGCCAGAAAATATAAAAAATATTTTTAAAACCCTAGAAATAGGTACTAATAAAGATGAGGTTACACAGAACTAGCCACTAGGGGGAGCCAGAGAGCATGCTGTGTATTGCGTTTGGTGTTCCCATAGTGTTTCATGCAATCCACAATTTCCAGCATCCGCGGAGGTTCTTAGAACTGATCCCCTGCAGATGCGGGGGAGTCCTACCTTATAAGCAGCACACTTCACTTTGCTTTTAATACCACTGCATCATTTAGGAGACTAGGGTAGACGCAAGGGTGGAAGGTTGAGTCCACCTCAAGCCAGCTACCTGAGCCCATTGGGGATCATAAGCAGAGGCTTGACTGCAGTACTGCGGTTTAACCACGATGCCATGTAGCTGGATAAGGTGAACATCGGAACAGTTCAGACTTCATGGGGTCCAAGAATGAAAACATGGAAGCTGCTTTGGGCTTGTTACCGATATGGAGGGGTTAAAGTTTTGGGGAACCAGAACTGAAGAATTGACCAAAGAGAGGAAGATAAGGACACACAGATACCTCAGTCTGTTGATCTCTTTAAAAATATATATGTATTGTATTTTTGGGGGGGTTGTTTGTCCATCACTCTCGCCTGATTTCATCAGTTCTTGCCATCAACCCAATCTGTTGCCTTTTGGGGGAAGACAGCAGCCCGGTAAGTATGGAATGGCTTTAAATGTTGTCCCGTGTAATTGTTAATCAAAACTATTTTAAACTCTCACAGTAAAATGCAAGACACAAGATTCACTTTGGTTAAGTAGGAGCATGGTATCCGTAGGGGATCCATTCCATGCCCCCCCTGTGGAAAAAAAAATTATAGAGAACCTGATATATACCATGGTCTATGTCTCCCTCCAGTGGCCGGTTCTGGTAATTACATTGTGGAAATATGTACCGTAGGACCCCCATATCCGCAGAATTGGTATCTGCTGACTTACTTAGCCAAAAATATTACAAGTATTAAAAGAAAAAGCCTAGAAATATGTATTTAAAGATGACGTTAGCAGAACTGGGCACTGTAGGGACTGGTGGTGTCCAACCTTGTCCCTCCAGATGTTCTTAAGACTACAGCTCCCAGAAGCCTTCATCACCACCTCTGCTGGCCAGGATTTCTGGGAGTTGAAGTCCAAGAACATCTGGAGGGCCAAGATTGGGGACCACAACTAACTAGTAGAAATACTGTACTGTACATTTCCATGATGTTATGACAAGAACTGGCCTCTAGAGGGAGCCAAGAGACCATACCATGTACTGTATAGTGTTTGCTATTAAAAGAATGTTTCCATAATCCACATTTTCCAGCATCTGCGAGGTTGGGGGGCTTGGAATTGACCCCACTGTGTAAATAGATATTTCTTGGGTTTTTTGAAATTAATATTTTCAGGTAGCGGACACTGACTGACGGCCTGAGTGGGGTTTTTGAATGGATGGTTTGTACCTTGCTGCTCTTGACTGCGTTTTTGGGTATTGCTTTTGTTGATCATCTTTTACTGTGGCCTTTGTCTGATCCGTTTTCGTGTGGAGTATACGTGCTGTTTTAAACTTTCAACATGGTCATTGAAGGATGTGAGCCGCCTTGAGTGCGAGAAAGGGGGAGGCAAACCTATTTTCGATTAATCCTAAAATAAATAAAGGCAGCCCCAGGCATCCATTAGTGATCTCAGCGAGCAAGGGACGCTACTGTATGTGAAGCTGGGGGATGCTAGGCCTTGTAGTGTCAGGGCAATGGTTCCAAGCTCTGGGGACAAGGGGTGGTCCGTTTGCACCAGAACCTGGGGCTTCTTCAGCCACGGCGGCATGGATGGGACCCACCACTTCCTGCAGCGGCTCTAGTAGAAATGAATTCTCGTCTTCCCCTAATCAGCTTTTCGGGCTTTGCTAAGAGGAGGTGAAACGGGCAAACTGGAGCTGGGAGGCAGGAGTTAGGAGGGGAGAAATCGGTGGCCAGACACACCAGCCACGGCCGTCTGGGGCTGAAGGACAGGATGACACCCTGACCTCGCTCAGACGGATCGGGGTCAAAGCGATGGGGCCGATTTTGGCACCCAGGAGGGGTGAAATCAAGCAAATTTGACAAAACTGCCTCCATGCCAGCTTGCAAATTGAATGGGGTTGGGCACGAATCTCTTCCGTTTGGTGGAAGTGGACCCAAAACGTGCCAGGAGTGTTGGGGGGGGGACCCTAGATTTGGCCATTTTGCTTCCCATTGGAGGACTCCACAGGGTCCCTTCCTGCATTTCAAGGATTTTTTTTCTCTCCAGATTTTCGTGTTCCCACCCAGAAACATTCCAGTCCTGGGTGGTTTTCTGTTGCACGGCGATGTGCTGGCTTTCAGAATCGGCCCCTGGATTTGGAGTCGCTCTGGCTTCAGTCAGGAGACCCTCTGGAGCTGATAATCAGGCCCCAAACCAAATTGGGGGGGGGGACTGTGCAGAGCCATCATCATTGCAGCATAAGGAGACATGGTTTTTTTTAAACTGCCTTAATTAAGCCAAACTGTTGTCGTCATGGGACACACACCCCCAAAAAAAGGCTGCCCCTGCCAGTGTAAAGCAGGCATGGACACCGCACATGGGCTACAACTCCCATCATCCACCACCATTTGTGGCGCCAGTTAAAAGACTGCAGGGGACTGAAGTTCAACAACACGTAAAGGTTCCCAGGCACTCATTCCTTCTCTAAGGAGAGGGTCATGTCGGGTTGAGAAGCTGAGGCTAAGAGCCAGCGGCCTAAATACAGAACAGGAGAGGGGCATTGAATGTCAGCTCCTACTTGTGGGGCAGATCTTCCAAGCCCTACTTGATTGGGCAGGAGATGTGGTGCTTCTCAGATTGGGGGGGGGGGATTTCTATCTTTCCTCTGTTCTTAGACAACACCTAGACTTCTTATCAGCCATTGAAGGATATAATTGACTCGAGGTCAATGAAATCAACACAATGATTCTCTTGGAGCTGAAGAGCTGAATTTAATTTTAGAGATGCTCTTGAGGAGGGGGGTTATTCTGGGATGGAGGGGCAGATGGGGCCAAACCCCCACCCGATTTGTCTGTTTGAAAGCTCTTGGGGGCAAGAGCATACACCGTGGGAAAGCTACCTCAGCCAAGGAGGGCTGCCATGGAGCACAGCGTTCTTCCCCACCCTTGATGAGTCCTCCTTGCTATTAGTAGTGGTTGGGCAGAAATGCCTAGCAGGCCTGTGAAAATATCTGCTGTGGGGGTCCGTGTCTCCGAAACCTCCCTCTGCTTCCCTTCCTGCATCTCAGGGGTGTGTGTGTGGGGGGGGACTTCAGCAGGTTGGCCTTCCAGGGGCTCACCCCCTCCATTCTGCCGCGGGCCCTTCTGAAGTCTGCAAAACAGACCTTTATCCTACAGTGGAAATGAGGTGGAGGTCCGGCAGGCACTTTGGGGCCAGACTGTTACATGCCACAAGGCCTGGGTGTTTTTTGTTTGTTTGTGTGTGTGTGTGTGTGGTTTGTTTGTTTGTTTTTTTTTGCTTTTTTGATCTTTGTGTGTGAATGTAAACCTCTGTCCACCTTCTTCTACAGTTTTTCACCCAGCCGTGCATTTATTGACAGAAGTTGGATGCCTTTTTTCCCGAGCGAGCCCTCACCGTTTTGAGCCCTTTGTGAAAACAAGGCGCTGCTTTGCACGCGTCAACGATTCCTCTGAAACACCCCGTGGGCCGTTCCGGGGTGTGCCTTCCGGCGGCGCGGCGTATTTCGACTCCCCGGAGATCACGGGAGGTGTGGGAAAGCTTGTTTTCAGTGTGCCTGCCCAAATCGTTGAAACACATTGTACTCCCCTGGTGCTTCATTGGGACTACAACACCACCCATGATCCTCCACCTGGGGCTGCAGGGGAGGAGTTCCAGTTCCGACACCAGCCAGAGGAGGGCCTGGAGTTCCCCGCCGTGCGCTAAAGAGAGGCCACAGAGGGCTCCGAAGTTGCAGGTGCCTTGGGAAAGTGTTCTGGTGCAGAGGACGAGTGGGCAGGAGACCCCTTGAGACCAAAAAGCTCACCTCGGAGGAAATTACAGGGAGGGTCTCAAAGCTCAGGGAAGGCTAAATGGCTGTTTGCTGGATAAAGGAAACCCAGAGGAGAGCATCCCGTGTGCTGGAAAAGGGCAGGGCTGTCCAGCTGGCCTTTGACCGGGCGCATGATATGCGCCTCTCGCAACGGGGTCAGTCTGCCACCTAGTGTTCAAGCATCAAATAACAACACCGCAATATTAATGCACAAACCATGCTGGTGCGTTGATGAACCCAAGGGGGGGGGGGGAAATCTTTATATTCTGAATTCCAGTCCACAAGGTTGGCTAAGGGGAAAGCCCTTAACAAAAAATGTTTGGGCTTTTGGAAATAGTTCTGTGTTAGTGGACTTTCCCAGCTACGCTCAAGGGTAACAAAATAAAAGAGGGAAAGGGTATTCGTAGAGAAACAGATCAAAGCGAAAAAAACTAACAGGGAGTATGGAGGGAAGAGAGAGTTCTTCTGTTGTGGCGACCTGCAAAGGCTGTGCAATGTTTGCCTTTGTGCCTGGAGGGTAACATGGCGTACACGGGCAGCAAGCGCAACTTGAGAGGACCAGGGCAACGAGTAGCCACACGTAGGGCTAGAAGGGAAGACGAAGCAGAGATTGGCAGAACTCTTGAACAGCAGCCGCCGCAGAAGGAAGCGCCATGGAAAAGGGTCGCCGTGAAGAGCTAAAGGAGGAGGAGATGATCTTCATTGGTGGAACTGGGAAACTGCTTTCAGTTTCTCGGCGAGAACTCTGGCAGGCAGCAAGTTCACGAGAGATGATCTTCATCGGTGGAACTGGGCCGAGAACTCTGGCAGGCAGCAAGTTCACGAAGCCCCGAGAGGAGACCTCGCAGGAGGATATGAGAGGGACTGAAACTCAGCCCAGCCGAGGCCTTGAACCCACACCCTACAAAAAATATGAGAAGTTGCACCAGGAGACCCCCCTCTTGCATGGGATGGGAATGAGTATGTCCAGAAGATCAGCGGACCCTCGTCGGGCGTGCCCGTCTCCCCGCAGCACAGATTAGGGATGGGACAGAAGGATTGCCATCACTCCTGAAAGCCAGGGATCCATCTCCTTCGTCTCATCCACGTGGGAACCAACGAAACAGCCAGGAGAAACTTTGAAGAGATCTCACCAGACTCTGAAGCTCCGGGAAGGAAACTCTACAGTTTCGGACCTCAGATGGTTTTCTCATCCCTCCTACTCGTACTCAGAAGAGGAATAAAAAGGGAAAGGGAAATTCTCCAGGTGAAGGACCGGCTACGAAGGTGGTGTCGAAGTGAAGGATTCGGTTTTTGGAATCACGGGCTAAGCTTCTTAGAAGACGGACTCACACCTCACAAGGACTGGGGAGAATGTGTTTAGCCACAGCATGAAGAACATCATCAGAAGGGCTTCGAACTGAACGGGAAGCGAGAGGGAAACCCAAGCAGAGAGTTAAGGGGAGATGAAGCCTTAGAGACTTATCAGTTCTAATGGGGATCAATATTAACATTAACCTTCATAATAATATTCATAAAAATGCTCATAGAAAAAGCAGGCCAGAAATCACACACTCTCCGGTGTCTATATATGAATGTCAGGAGTATGGAAAACAAAGAAGAATGAGAAATCTTAGTTCAGAAGCATAAATGTGACTTGATCGGAATAAATGAAACTTGGAGGGACGACTCCCATCACTGGAATACAGCAATTGAAAGGGATAATTTGTTCAAAAGAACAGAAACAATAGAAGGGGAGGTGAAGCAGTTTGTGTCAAAAATATGCATTTCTGCAGAGAAATACAGGAGGAGGAGATGGGTTGTCCCATTGGAAGCATCTGGATCAATGTCGTTGGGGCGAAGAAGTAGAAAAAAGGAACTTTGTAGTTGGAGTTTGCTAATGATCTCTCAATCCAGGACAGAAAAAAACAAATCTGTTGGGAGGGAAATTCTGCCAAGTCTGGCCCTTCCAATAAATTACTGGCTTTGTGTGGCTGATCATTTCCCCTACAAAAGGCGGAGAAAGAAACCTGAGAAACTAAATCAAGTTATCCTTGACTTGATTCTAACCAACACAGATGACGTGGTGGAGGAAGTGGCAGGAAGGGGAACTCTGGGCGAGAGGGTCCCTGTTCTCCTATGATTCTTCATTTCCAAGGAAACCAGAGCAGAAGGGAGCCACACACACATATAGATATGCTGGATGTTAAAAAACAACATTTTTTAATGAACTCAGAATAAAGATGAGGAAGGTCCCATGGCAGGAGATCCTAACAAGAAAAGGAGTCCAAGAAGGGTGAGAGTTTCTAAAACAGGAAATTCTAAAGGCGCAACTGAAAACAATTCCGACAAGGGAAAAAAAGGTGGGAAACAGAAGAAAAAAGTCCAGAATGGCTTTACAAAAAGCTCAGGGAGGACCTAAAAAATTCCAGAACAGAATCCTAAAGTGCTCATTATGCAAGCTCCTAGAAAACAAGGCAGTAAGAATTAGAAACCAACACAGATTTGTCAAGAACAAATCCTGCCAAACTGATTTTATCTCATTTTTTGATCAGGTCACCTCCCTGATAGACCGAGGGAATGCTGTAGCTGTAGTATATCTTGACTTCAGCAAAGCTTTTGAGAAAGTGCTCCATGATCTCCTAATTAACAAGCTAATAGCATGTGGGCTGGATAGAGCAATTATCAGGTGGATGCATAATTGGCTACAGAATCGTACTCAGAGGGTGAAGATTAATGGCTCCTTCTCTAACTGGGAGGAGGTCACAAGTGGCATACTCAAAGGCTCAGTCCTGGGTCCAGTGCTCTTCAATATTTTTTATTAATGACTAGGGAATGCTAATCAAAGTCGCGTATGGTACAAAATTGGGTGAAATAGCTAATGCCCTGGAAGACAGAAAGAAATTCAAAGTGATCCAGATAGGGCTGGGCCGAAAACAACAGACTGACATTCAACAGGGAGAAGTGCAAAGTGTTGCACCTCGGAAAAAGAAACCAAATGTGAGAAGGATCTTGCAAGTCGTTGTAGATCATGGGCTGAATATGAGCCAACCGTGTGGTGTGGCTGCAAAAAAGGCCAATGCGATTTTAGGCTGCATTAGCAGAAGTATAGTCTCCAAATCCCGTGAGGTACTAGTCCCCCTCTATTTGGCACTGGTTAGGCCTCATCTCGAGTCCTGGGTTGAAGGAGGCCAACAAACTGGAGCATGTACAGAGGAGGGTGAGGATGATGATCAGGGGGCTGGAAACCAAGCCTTATGAGGAAAGGTTGAAAGAATGGGGCATGTTTAGCCTTGAGAAAAGATGATGGAGGAGAGAGACGACAGCACTTTAGAAAAGTGGTCCTACAGAGGAGGGGCAGGATCTGTTTTTTGATCCTCTCAGAGTACAAGACGTGTCATAATGGTCTCAAGTGACAGGAAGCCAGATTTTAGTTGAATCATCAGGAAAAACTTCTTAACTATTAGAGCAGTACGACAAGGGAACCCAATGACCTCAGGTGGTGTGGAGTGCATCAACGCTGGAGGCCTTCAAGGGAAATTTAGACAACCCTCCATCAAATCTGCTTTGATCTGGATCCCTGCCTTGAGCAGGGGGTTGGACTGGATGACCTTCGAGGGGCCCTTCCCACTCCATCATTCCGGGATTCTATCATTAGACCACCTTTTCCATCCGGGCTGTTCCACTCGTCAATACGCCTCTGAAAATATCCTCTTCTGCGCCACAATCCTCTTGCTGCTTCACAGTGAGCAAAAAGGTGTTAAGGTTCGAGGTCCAATGGCTGCATCTTAAAATAGAAATGCGGGTTGCTGGCCGGGGGCTTGGCCAGGAACGCAACCAGCACCTTGAAAAGGAGCGACAATCCAACTGGGGGGAAAAAATCCCTTGATTCACCCGTGGAGGATAGGATTGCCCCAATTTCAATTTTTAAGGTTTAGGAGTGTAAGACACCCCAACGGCATGCTGACGGGGGTTTCCAGGGCTGCCAAAATGTGCTGTGAGTTTAATAGGTTTCCCATGCTCTCATTAAACAAATGCACAAATAAGTAAATTTGCAATGGGTAGCAGAAACGGGACTCGGAGACCTAAACCACAGAGCTAGCCGGGATTATCGGCAACGTGTCGTGCCGGCAAAGATTTCTCTTACCAATTTTGCGAGCCAGGACGGAACGTTAGCTGGGAAATCGGCCAGTGACAAAAGCCACACTGTACACGTTAGAAAAAGCAGTCGACAATATGTATTATTATTATTATTTTCCTTTTATACATAGGTTGCATTTTAAAGATAAATAAACTCTCGAGCAATAAGGAAAAGAGTCTGCTCGTGACAAAAATAAATAAGGCAGGACACAATATTCATAAAATACCATTATACAGAACGTTGGTAGAATAAACAGATAACGACAAAGTGTGCACAGTTAGATCCATTTCATTTGGTTGCATGGCTGCATGATAGGATAGGATGGGTCTTTGTGTGATGGTTTTGTTTTCATTTCCACACAGTAAAGTGTCGCATAATACATTCTCCAAAAACATAATGCAGCTTTTAGACTGTTTTTTTTTCATTATGAAACATTGATTGCAGATGGTAAGAACGCCCATGGGTGGGATATTTTGTGTGTGTGTGTGTGTGTGTGTGTACACACATATCGTTAAGACATCACATACACCCTGAACGAAAAGAGACACAAATTAAGAAACCTTCTCTATTGTCGTCATGAGACTGTCCTGCAGAACGACGGCATGGATCACACAATCTTCCCACAATAAAGTAAAACAGACCAAAATAACAGTGGCTGGAAAACAGCAAGCATGCCGGCATTATCTCTCCCTGTCTCTCTCTCACACTCACACACAAACACACACAAAGTTAACATTCCTGATAAAAGGATATGTTTGTATGTTGGGGTTTTTTTTGCATTCCAAGGCAAACAGAAGAAAAAATAACTCAACATTTCGACCTCCGTGGTCCATTTTGGATAGAGTCTGTATACCATCGTCCTGTGCACAGGCCACATGGACGATGGCTGCAGAATTCAGTCCCCTAAAGAACGCATGCCTGTGTGAACAGGTGCCCCTGGCCCCCAGGAAAATGGGCCTCAGGGGTTTGTCACTGGGAGCGGAACATTGCCCCACCGTCATGACGACGTTTCACAGCAAACAGAAAAGTAGCCTGAGAACCTCTCAAATGGGCACCAGAGAGGGGAGGTGTCCCTCACATAATCCCCCCATCCCGCCCAGTACAAAAATCATCCATGTATCCAGAGAATTCAGAGCCACCCGCCCCTTCAAGGTTCTAGTCCTCAGGGCCGTGTAGAAAAGTTTGGGAATACCTTCCCTGGAGGCCCGCCGTCTCAGATCCTTCATCAGATGACGACAAGGATTTGATTTTGGGGTGTGTGTGTGTCTCCTGCCCCCCCACAACAACAACAGTTTGTCCCAATCTTTCCCAAAAAGAGAAGACAGGTGAAATCTCACGCCGAAGGAAAAGGGAAAACCTACCTTTGGCATTTCATTCTCTGCAGCCTTTCTCCTGGGAGTAGGGATGGGGGGTCCCCACCCGGCACATATAAGCCCAGCCCCACAACGGGTGTGATCCAGCAAAACGGACAGTAAACCCTTCCCAGCTGAAAACACGGGAGGTTGTGGGGTTCCGGAGGGCAGCCGGAGGGTCTCTTAAGAGGGGGCGGCCAGGATGGGATGGAAGGAACGGGCAGAGGCTTTGCAAAATGACAGCAGCAAAGCCAGGAATGGCCGGGACGCCTCACACAGCCCATTGCGGGCCCTCTCCAGCGCTAAAGGGTTGGTCCACTGTTTGGGAAGTGCAAAAACACGAAAGAGAACATGGACTAAAAATGGAGCAGCCCCTCTGACATTTAGGGCTCTCAACTTCCTTGCCTGGATTTTTAATTTTTTTTTTTTTTTTGGTGAGGGACACCCTTCCCTCCTTTGTATTTTTTTTCTTAAAAATAAAAAGTTTCTGAAACTTCTCAAGTATTTACTGCATTACGTGGAAGATGCCATTAAAACATCTTGTTTCAAGTGCAATTAAAGTGCTCTCTTTTCTCCCACCTCCCCTCCCCAAAAAGGTCCAAGAAGCTTTTTTTCCCCTTCCTTCTTTTTTTCTTTTCTTCTCTTTTTTTGCAGGAAATGTCCATTGCTTTTCCACCACGCCCCCCCCCCGGTCTCCGGTCACTTATTTTCAATCAGCGTCTGGACTTTGCAGATTAGGTCTCGTGCAATCTTCAGGATCTCCTGAACGTTGTGATGTTCAGCCATTTCTGCACCGGGGGGGGGGAGGAGAAAGGCAGAAAATGCAAACGTTTATTTCATTTCATTTATAATTTTTTTTAAAATTAAACATTATTTCATTTTGAATTTAATTTCTACCAGGCCTTTCTCCTTAAAAAGAACCCAAGGAGTTTCATTTCATTTATAAAATCATTTTTAAAAATTAGATATTATTTCAATTTGAATTTTACTTCTACCAGGCGTTTCTCCTTAAAAAGAACCCAAGGAGGCTTATATCAGTAGAAGACCATATTTAAAAGTCACAAACAGGAAGTGTACCAATACTACAAAAGAATCCAACCGATACCACATTAAGACAGCAAACGAAATCAATACCAAAACACACATTGAAAAGCAACAGGGCAGCACATTCCATATATATATACACAGTGGTGCCTCACTTGACAACATTAATCCGTTCCAGCGAAATCGCTGTAGAGCGAAATCATCATCAAGCGAAAGTAAAAAGCCCATTGGAATGCATTAGAAACTGGTTAATGCGTTCTAATGGGTGAAATACCTCATCGTAAAGCGAAGATCCTCTATAAGGCGGCCATTTTCTGCTTCCTGTAGAGCGAAGAATCCGTCCCTAACACAGCGGGGAGCCATTTTGCACAGCGGGGAGCCATTTTGGACTCCCGATGATCAGCTGTTTTGATTGTCATAAAGCGAAAAAAATCGGTTCCCGAAGCAGGGAACCGATCATCATAAAGCGTTGTTTTTTTTGCTATCTAAACATCGTTTTGCGATCGCAAAAGCAATCACAAAAACCTAATTGTTAAGCGGATTCATCATGGAGCGGGGTATTAAGGACTGTATTAAGGACTGGCTGTTGAGTTTTATATTTTATATTTT